TTTGAATGAATTAAATGTTTTACCTGATGATGGCGCTATATGAAAAGTTGTAGGAATATCTAAAGTTGTTACAATCGATCATAAAGGGACCATGAATGGCTGCATCCAATTACATGGCAATCCATCCAACAGTTGTTACAATATTTCAGTCCGACCAAAGTGGGGGACGGACAACAGACAGACATATATTGCCATCCCTAGCTAACATGCTAGCAGATTAACTAAAAACCCACAAGGTCATTTAACAGCACATGCAGCTGTTCTGAAGGAATTTCCTGAATGCTCTTCTCACCATCTGAGTGAAGACTTTTCTAACCATCAGCATGAAAGAATATTCTGTCCCCTGCACAAATAAGAAAAAAGATTTGTATTGTTGCGACCCTGTTTACTCATCCAAACAAAGATGGTAGTCGTAAATTATAAATGTCCTTGCTCAAACTTCAAGATTGGTATCACTTCCATTTGTGTATATTGATGTTACTTTATATTGTTTTATATTTTTCTTGTTATGTACAAAAGGAGGAGGGACACATGACATTGCCAGCTACCTGTATTAGGAACGACCCTTGTAACTAAAGAAAATTAAAAATATTTTTTTATTTTGCAACAGACAGATTTTTTTTTTCATGCAAATGTCTTTGAGTCTGAGTGTTTGTCAAACCACCTCAGGTATTCAATTTTCTGAAAATTGGATGCTTAGCCCTTGAGATTTGCTGACAGTAAAGAAAATTATAGTTATGCCAGTCCTTATCCTTTAAGTTCAAGTAACTATAATATATGTATAGCTGTTTTTGTTACGGTAGATCTTTTATTTCTTCATCTCCCTGTCTCTGTCTCTGCAGCCTGAAGAATATGGGCAGGAGGCCATGGAGGGCCAGGGAGAGGCAATGCTGGAACCAGAAGGAGAGACATATGATGAGACCCAGCAGGTAATCAGCCTTCACGACACAAAATGCATACATGTCGCCACGTGTCTCTATATGAGTAGCTTTTTGTATGTTTTGCGATAAGCTTGTGAAAAACTGTAAAGCTGTGGACTGCAGTCTGTGATGAGTCCGTTCACTTACAGTAGATGGAGGCTCATCAGTATTCAGCAGCTCTGCATGGTTACACATTTTACATTTTGGCTGTATTGCATTTCAATAGCACTCCACACTTGCCCTCCACTTCTGTCCCACACAAACACTACAGCTCACACTGAGGTAATTCATCCTTTCTCTGGGAATGAAAACAGAAGGTTTAACAAGCCAATTGCCACACAGTGAGTACAGTGAATATAGCTCCACCTACCTATACCAATCATTGGGTGTGTGTCGGTGTGCGCGTAGAAAGGATGCAAGTCTGACACAGATGGTTATTTTTGGAATTTGGCTGTCAGGGGCGAGACAAACTGTGCAGAACCTGTTTCTTTGAAAAGAGATTTAAATTAGCTGAGAGTAAATAAAAATATCACACCATGTACATAATATTTCCTTTATATTTAGCCAGAAACCCATTGTATTCTCATAGAATAATAAAATTAGCAGAATCAAATTCAGATGGAGGATGATGTAATATGAGATTTAGCATGATCTCTAACATTGTTAAATTTATTCAGAGCATTTGGTGGGATTTTCTTTTCATTCCCCCATCAGTGGATTATAGCATTAATCAGTTAAAGGAATAAAACGGAGATATTCCCTGAGATACAAATTAAAAGTGAATTTTTCCGAACAGCTTGTATCTTCCATGTCCTCCTCCATCTCTCTCTCCCACTCCTCCGCATCTTTTTTCCCCTCCCCCATCCTTTGCTACACCAGCAATGTGTGAGCTCTGTCTGAATGGGTGTGGTGATGACGCTCTCTGCCTTCATGCATTGTGGGTAATGTCAGGGTCTTCCTGCATTGCTGTAAATATGGTGTGCTGCAGAGTGAACCGAGCCTTCTTTGGGAGGATTTAGAGATTAAAATCCATCTCATCCAGTATCACTCTTTGGTTTTGTGAATATATCAGATGACCTAAGACTGTTGCACATTCCCAGAGGGTGTGTGTTTTTATTTTTTTGATCATCATGTGCATGAAGTAGGCGGGTGCAGGGTTACAGGGATGCTGGGAATCACGACACGTCCTTGAAGCTGGTGTAGGCTCAGGCTGCCCTCTGCAGGCTGGTGAGGTCCACTGAACCAGTAGAGGAGCTTACAGCTGTGTCGGAGTTACATCATTCACCAGAGAGCAATCATGTGCCATATATGTTCTTCGTAAACCAATTTAAGTTGAATTTCATGCAATTAAGTTTTAATTAAAGTCTCACTGTTGAATTTGACCTGGGGCTTCTCTGTGCTGCAGATTTGACCTGCTTTTCTCTTAAAATAGCTTCTTTTTCTTCCCCTCAGGAGAGCCAGGACTACGAGCCAGAAGCGTAAAAGCATCAGTCCGAGCCACCATCCAACCAGCAGCACAATAATATTTCTAATAATAAAAAGGACAAATGCTGAAACTATTACAATTATACCCCCGTTGCAAAAAACAACAAAAAAGCATTCCCACTGAAAAATGTTCTTCCTTCAAGACAAATCTTTTATTATTATATATTGTAAATGTCATGTTATTAATGTAATGTGTTGGGTGTAGGTATTTATTGACATGTAGGATTTGTCCTCTCTGTCTCATTTCCTTGATTCCCTCCCAATGAAATGAGACCAGAGCCTGGGCTTGTGAATTTGTACTTGTGTGTATCTGTATTTAGAAATGTGCAATAGATGTTCATCATCTTCCAATGAGACATTGGGAGTGGGAAAAAATAAATATGTCCGGTTGCAAGCAGATATGGAAACAATAATATCCTCTTAAGTGTCAACAATGCCTGTTTGTGGGTTGTTTATTTTTGCATTTCTTTGGAAATTTCTTTAAACATTTTTGAAGTAAGAGTTTTTTACATTGTATCTTTATAGTTGCTTGTGAAATCATTCCAGTAAACTATCTGTTAGAAATGGACAGAGTATACATGTTTGTGTGTGTGCGTGTGTTTGTGTGTACTGAAGATTTTAACAAGTTAAAGTCAATATATTATGTCTTGAAATCATAATGGTTGTCATATCAATATGTGCTTTAAATTGCAGGACTTGTCAGTATACAGGTTTATGTGTTAAGCCAGACATACATTCCTCTGTAAATAAAAAGTAAAAAAAAAGAAACCATTTGTTAGTGTTGTTTGATAATGTTTAAACTCACTGTTGGCATCGATCACTCATTAGATTTTAAACCTCTTGTAATTGTTTTTTTTCTGCCTGCTGGTCTAAATGAGGCTCTGTTATGCATCGTCCTCACATGTTTCCTTTTTTGCTCACTGTTGTCTGGGGGACTGATTACAGTATGTGTAAAATCTGCTGAGCAGGCCGGATGCTGCCATAGTTGGGATGCCAGTCTGATCGGCCCTTTTTGGGTGGGTTTTGTTTGGGTTAATCCGGCTGGAACGTGCAGACTTGGTGGTGTCGGGCTCAAACAGAGGGTATTAAACGGCCTCTCCCGCCGCTGTCGGCTCAGACGGATGTGTGGACGCTGCAGGGACAAAGACAGGAGCCATGGCCTCGTTCAAGAAGTCCTTTGAGAGCCTGAAAGGCACAAGCCACTCAGCCGCGAAAGGAGTCACAGACACTGCAGGTAGAGCTACAATTACAAGCTGTAAGATGGCCAATGTAATGTCTGGCAGACAGAGAAAAGACTTTTCTTTCACAGTGGTTTGTCTTCCTTGAAATAGAACAACTAAGTAGATATTTCCAATAAATCCTTTTGTTTTTTATCTTTCAGGCACGTTTAAAATTGTCTATTACATGTAAAGGACTTGTTTGTCAAGGAGTTTTTACTCACTTCAAAAGTAAATAGTTTTTTCCTCCTGTGGTCAGTCACTGTAAGTCCCTATGATGTGTTTCCAGTGCAGGCAGCTCAAGATGCTGTGCAGCAGGTGGCAGACTCCTCTAAAGAAACAGCTAACACAGGTAAAGTGCACACATTAATCTGTCTTTGAAGTGTCATGATGTGATAATGGTTGTATTATTTTGAGCAGACAGGAGTCAAGCTGTCAGTGGGTGAAAAAAAACGTAGCTCCCAAATTAAATGTTTAATGGTCGATGAGCGATAAGCTCCTAAAATGACATGAAAAATTACACTGTCTAGAAACTCCACATATCTTTCAGAGTTGGAAACAGTGTGAAGAAGTGCAAGTAGAGTGATAATGGAATTTCTATAAATCTCTTATTTGACTTGTGTAACACACTGTAATACAGTACTAGAAATTCACTCAAATGTAGCTTGGTTGAAGGTGGTTTTAGAGACAGGATCCTGCAAAATGTTACAGGAATAGAATGATAAATGTAATATATTGGATTTGAGCTTTTTAAATATGCATAAATTAATGCTTACAGACAAAGGATTGCATGTGGGTTTGATAGACTTAATTAAACTCTATACTATTTTCTTAAGCCTAATGCTGGTGATTTGTTGTTAAAACTTCCTGATATTTCTCTTCTACTTCACTCTTTGAAGCCGCTCAAGAAGCTGGCAGACAGACTCAAGCAGCCATAGGAAAAGCTGCGGACACAGCCACGGACACGATCAAGGTGTTTGGACAGAAACTGGAGACCAAATGAGCCCTAAACAATGAACAATTCTAGCTGAAACAGTCAAGCCAACTTGTCTAGCATCCGTAGGTTTTAGACAAGTAATGATGTTGGGATGGAAGAATGTTGGCATCAGAAAACCTGAGAAAAAGATATAAACTGTATCTCCACACAGCTCACATTCCAAAGGAAATCTTTATAAATTGTCTTTTTTTCTTATTTTCCTCTCACCCTTTTCCCTTTGTGTATCCTGCTGTATTGTAGATTTCATTTTATGTGACTATTTTGGGAAATAAAAATAGATACCAACTTGTTTCTCAGGTTTTTATAATGTGATATCCTCCAACATACAATGGATATAACACTGTTAGTAGCTGCAGAAGCAATGTGTGTGCTCTACATCCTTTTTTTGTGTGTGTTTATTTTGCACTCATCATTGAATCACCATGGTCATTATTACCAACACATTGCTGAGAAGATGGCCTTTGGCAGGTTGATGGCTCCTGATGAGAATGTGATCATAGCTGTCTACCTTGGCCCTCAGCAGCACACCTCCCTCCATCACACTACGTGGTTGCTAGGCAACAGATCTCTGTGGCAGCCAGGGATTGGTGGAGGCCTTTGAATTAATGGTGAGAATACTTGTGTCAGTACACAGTGTTCTGGCCAAGCTGCAGCCCACCGCTACAGTAAAACCAAGACGGGGAAGATTCTCAAAAATGAGAGAGATATATAGAATTATTTCCTCAGTCCCACACAATTACTCGAGGCAAGTGGAATTACCGAGACCCTAGAGAAATACGTGTCGCAAAGCGGAGAGGTTGGAGGGAGGAATGGGTATGAAAGACGTGGTGGTTAACAAGTGTTTGCTTGTGTGGGAGGCACAGTTCTGTTTCCTCCAGGCTCCTTCAGCTGATATCTCTTTCATGTACTTTCACTGCTGCAGCAGAACACTCACTTTTTAATATATATCTAATATTTCACAAATTTCCTCCACACATCCTGGTTTTGTATTCTTTTTCTGGTCCTGTAATGAGCCTGTGGTGATCTGCCTCCACAAAACAAAATTAGGTTTAAAGGAAGTGCTTTTTTTAATCTTTTCAGTCTGCTTTTTTACTATTACTAAACTACACATTTATTTACTCTTGCTTGAGAGATTGGTCAACAAAAAAGTGTGGCCTCAACAGACACGCACATTGCTGTCTTACTGTAAAGTACTGATGCATTATTAAGAAGAGAAAACCCTCCTCTGCATATTTCACCCTCACTTCAGAAGCTCTCACACTGATCATTTGAAGTGATATGATAGCTTTTATCTCCAGTGTATGCTTCTTTGAAAATGTCTCCAGCTACACCAATTCACCAATTCACAGGTTTAATCTCTCTGCACACAGTTAGCATTGTGTCGCTATGAGAACCTGCAGCGAATTACTATGATTTACTGATGATTAGAGAGCTGAACAGAGATTTTGTCATTACATATACCACACACTGCCAGAACCCGACCGTGGTTTCCAGGGAAACTGGATATGTGAAGCTTTTCAACAGACACAGCCACAGCTTAAAGAGCGAGGATTGCCTAAGATAGATTCTTCTAGAGACAAACCTGTAGCCACTGCAATCACTATCAATCAACAGGGGAGATACACGGACAGATGTGGGTCTGAATCAACGGTGAGATTTGCGATGTTTGACCCAAAGCTGAGAGAGAGAGACTTCAGTCTGACTTAGACCACTGAGGTATGTCTGTTACTCGTGATTTCCTACATCATTTGTTTTATCTTATTTGTTTTCATTGTTAAAATTTGACAGGTACTTGATCCTGTGCATGACTTGTGATTATAGATTAAAACAGAGTTTGAATATAAACTGTGTATAAAATGTTTTTTGGGTAGATCAAACTGTAAAATTATATAAATGAGTCTATCATTTAAGATGCAGTTTAATCATGTGCTTAATAATAATACATATCCAGTGTTGATTGCTGTGTTCTACAATACTAAATAAACATGTGGATAATTTCCATACAATTGTAGCAATGATGTAGCGTGTCATTATTTGGATTCTTGACATCGATAACGTATGACGGAATATTTTTATCACAAAAATAAACCTTTTTTTTTCCTCCACTCATGCTGGGGCTTGTTGTTATAGTTACTGATTACAAATTGCACAAACAGTGTGTCACTGCTGTGTTATGCCCCGCAGGTATTCCACCACTTTAATGCAGAGACAGAATGGGAAGTCTTAAGGACGAGATGAGGGGTCTCAGAGAGGAGGACCACAATCCCTGTGAGAAGGCGGATGATGGAGAGCGTCCAGGTGGCTCAGATGGCAGCGCTGTGCCTGAGGGACCTCAGATTAACACGAGTCAGGAGTCAACAAATCAGGGGGACTATCAGCCAAAACTTCACATGAATGCCAGTTACGCTGAAGAGAGAGACAAGATTCCAATATCCAAAGATCAAGTGCTGTCAGGAGGGGTTTGTGACACAGCTGACCAATCAGACTCTATAGGAGGTAAAGACTCTACGCAGACTGACGCCATCCCTTTGATGCAACAGCCTGAAGATGATAAAACAACAGCAGCTACACATAATGGCACGACAATCTCCAGTAATAAGTTCCCAAGTGATGGAGATGGAGACAGGGAAATTCAGGGGGAAATGCCAAAGGATGAAAACACAAGTCATGACAGAGAAAAGGTGGCAGAAATTGAAAATATCTCTGTGCCTATACCAGTAACTCCAGGCCCCTTTGACCCACGTTCCCCTGCCCCTGTTGGTCAGCACCACATGCGCACACAGGTCAGCCTGGAGGTGGTCCAGTGTTGTTCCGCAGCCACCAGCCCCATGACGCCTCCAGAGGGCAGCCATTCCTTTTTCTTCCCAAGCTCTTTTGGTAGATCTGGAGCAGTGGGTGCTGACACCAAAGATGCTGAGTTACAGGTGGGTCAGCAGGTGGAGTTCTGCTCTGTTGCTACATCCCCCATGACTCCAAAGACGCCATCCACCACGGCTTTCCCAGAACTTATCGGGAGAGAGACGGTGCAGAAGGAGGAGAAGGTGAAAAAGAGTGAGGGGCAGAGGGACAGTGGCCAACAAGACAAAAAGACAAAAAGTCCAGCAGAGGCTGAGTTAGAGATAACTGGAGCTATCAAATTTACCACAACAAAGGAGCTGAGTGAAGACTTTAGCTCAAATACACCCCCAGAGAGCTCCACCAGCTGCCCTGCTGCTGGCTTAATAGATTCACAAGTAACTCTGGAGGATAGTAAGCAGCAATGTAAGCAGCAGAGGATGGGAAGTATGGATCAAGACATTACAATCCTAGTGACCCACTATGACAACAATGAAGATGAAGAGGGGGAGTCATCTTTATATCCAACAGAGCCAGAGATGGTCAAAATAGATGAATATGAGGAACTCAGAGAAAGCAACAGTGATGTAATGAGGGAGAATGGAAAGGAAAATATCCTCACAGAAACTGTGGCTCCTCATCATGCACAGGACATATTGAACACAAACCCTCCACAAAACAAAGCTGAGGAGTCCTCTGTTGCTGCTTTTGGTGATGTAAAAACAGACGTGAAATGTGACAATTCAGAGGTCAAAGAAAACAAAGATGCATGTGAGGAGCTGAGAGAGGTTTCCGTGACAAAGCCTCCCGTCCCTGAATCTCCAGCTCCCTTTGGCTGCCACAGCATCCGCACACAGGTGAGCCTAGAGGTGGTGCAGTGTCAGTCTGTAGCTACCAGCCCCATGACCCCTCCTGAAGGGGACCTCGCATTCTATTTCCCCAGCTCTTTTGGAAAGTGTTCAGCTGTGGGTACAGAGACTAAAGACGCTGAGCTGCAGGTGGGTCAGCAGGTGGAGTTTCGCTCTGTCGCTACAGCACCTATGACTCCAAGAACGCCCACCATCACAGTTTTTCCTGAGATCAGAAAGGAAGCCAGCATAGAGGAGAAGATAGTGGAGGAGGATGATGATAAAAAGGAGCAGGTGGTGAAAGACAAAAAGGAAGCAGTTAAAGAGGAGGAGAAAGCAACCGAAGAGAAAAAGGTAGAAGCAGTTGAGGAGAAAGCAACCGAAGAGAAAAAGGTAGAAGAAGCTGAGGAGAAAGTAACTGAAGAGAAAAAGGTAGAAGCAGCTGAGGAGAAAGTAACTGAAGAGAAAAAGGTTGAAGCAGTTGAGAAGAAACTAACTGAAGAGAAAAAGGTCGAAGCAGTTGAGGAGAAAGTAACTGAAGAGAAAAAGGTTGAAGCAGTTGAGGAGAAAGTAACTGAAGAGAAAAAGGTTGAAGCAGTTGAGGAGAAACTAACTGAAGAAAAAAAGTTTGAAGCAGTTGAGGAGAAACTAACCGAAGAGAAAAAGGTTGAAGCAGTTGAGGAGAAACTAACCGAAGAGAAAAAGGTGGAAGCAGTTGAGGAGAAAGTAACTGAAGAGAAAAAGGTTGAAGCAGTTAAGGAGAAAGTAACCGAAGAGAAAAAGGTGGAGGCATCTGAAGAAGACACAAAGGATGCAAACAACTGTAAGGAGAAAGCTGAGGAGCCGGTGCAGGAGGTGAGCTGGGACGAAAAGGGGATGACGTGGGAGGTGTATGGGGCAGTGGTGGAGGTGACTGTGCTGGGCTCAGCTATCCAGAAACACCTGGAGAAACAGGTGAAGAAGAGGCAGCCCTCCATGCCTCCCCCTCCTCCACTCAACCCCTCGGCCATACCCCTTTCTTCAGAATCCACTAAGGGGGGTTCGGGTAAGGGCCGGGCAGGGAAGAGGGGAGAGCAGGATGCGGAGGTAAGCCGACGCAGAAGAAACCCCTTCCGTCTGATGATGGAGAACATGCAGCAGCCACATTGTTGCTCCAAAGCTCATACCACTGAGTGACGTAAGAATTAAAAACAACAACAGCTGGTTGGAGAAAAAAAACCCTGTGCTGGAAAATCACGTAATGTAATACAGTGCATTCACTGATTTACTTCAACGTGACAGTGTGTTGAGAAATCACCTCCTCACACATGACCAAAAAAAGCACAAAAGCATTTAATATACAACTTCTATCATGGAGCATTGATCACTGAGAATATCAGTCGTAGAAGATGGATTTTATTGTGTTTTTTTCGTGGAGTTCCACGTTTCCCTTGTTTTGGAAAAATGAGGCTGATATATCAGTGTCATCGTTAGCTCTTCTCTTTGAATGTTTTTCACCCGGGCCATTCATTTGTCCATGAGTCATTTTAGCTATTGATGCTTTTTTTTTTTTTTTTTATGCACCTCAGACACCGCAGATATGAAGCCATGGTAACCGTCCTCCTGGTTGCTGAACACAGCTTCAATGGAGAGAGATGCAAGCAGAGTGACAGTTTTATGAAGTCACTACAACCTGGAGGTTATTTTATTCTGCTTGGAAGTTGAAGTTGACCTAAACGTTGCCTTGGTCGGTGTGAGAGGAGTCACTACCATTAGTGCAGGCTTTTGTATGTCTTATATTCTGCTTTGGCACAATGTTTTAACTTGTTTGTATTGTGAAAAGTATAAATATGTACTGATGACGAGCACAATCATGATCACTTGAGAAAAGTAATAAGTCCTGATATGAAGGGTATTTTTACTACTTACTGTATTTTAATGCCATAATTAGTGATTCAGTTGTAAATTATGTGATGAAACTTATTTTGAATGTGTTCAGCATTCAGCAGTTGTCACAGTGCCAGTGATGTTGGTGTTCATTTGTTTGTTCCTTCACTTCATAAAAGTGGGATCAAATCCACATTTGGAGAAATTGATTTTATTCACAGATTGCACTTGCAGATACATTCATTTAGATGTCTGTAAACAATAATATTTTCAATCTGCTGCTTGTAAGTCACAAAGTCACGCTGCATGAGGTTTTATTTCAGCAAGTACCACAAACCCAAAGCAAACACTGACAAATTAAACCTTTTTTGACGTGCATAAATAAGGATTTCATTCATACATTATGCAATATTTCTGTTTCCTCTTTTTGGATTTTCTTTCTATTAGCATCATCTGCATCAAGAATTAGCATTGTGTGTTGACATAACTTATAAAACAGTTTATTTCAAAGCAACAAACAGTTTTTAAACTGTTGCTTAATATATTAAAAAATAAAGTGATTCACATGTGCAACAAACAATTGTTTTGTTTGATTTACCATTGCTTCTGTTCTGTTCTGTTCTGTGAAGAGTCTGACTGTTTCGGAAATATTTGCAGAGAATTAAAGGAGGTTTATACCACGCTAATGTAGTGTGCTAAATAAGAAGCTTCAGCCAGCAGGCACTTAGCTTAGCATAAAGACTGGAAACAGAGGGCTCTGTCCAACATTTTATGTTTTTTGTACACATCAAACAAAGTGAGCCTTTGAGGTTCTGCTAGGCTGTTTTTCTTGTTTCCAATCTTAATGCTAAGCTAGAATAATGAAAGTGGCATCAATCCTCTCATCTAAATATAAATCTATGCAAGCATAAGCATATTTTAAAGTAAAAGTCAAACAATCTGTTGGACTAACATAACAGTTCTCAAATCAATAACCAAACCAAATTCCATGAGATAAAGTATACTATGTGGTATTGTTATATTGTTTTCACAGAGAAACAATCTCCAATTTTGGTTTTTCTGGTTTTGTTTCCCCTTGATTGAACAAATTGTGCCATGAATCTTAAATAATACACTACTATTGGTCAGAAGAATAAGGCCTTTTAAAGACACAAGGAAGCAACATATGTCCATCTGAGGCCTCTGGTCAGTCTCCCCTTCATTATTTTCCTCACAGGTCTGTAGTGCTGAACTCAGGGTTATCATATCCCATCAGAGGGTTGACGGTGCTTTTCTTCTCGCCCCGCTGGGCCAGCGCTGCACCCAGTGGTTCAATGTACTCTGGTGGCCCGTTGTCTTCCTCATCCTCCTCCTTGATCATCTGCTAATGAGGAGCAGACAAGACTTAAAATTAGACTATATTCTAATAAGTACAAATGAAGATGGATTTTGAAATGCAAACTTACCATGATGGGTTTTGTATCCTTGTCATCACTGCTCATGTCATCACTGTAGTCCAGGGAGTTCAGGCTTTAGAGGAAAAATAAAAAACAAAGGGTTCAAAGCTCAAACTCCATATGCACAATTAATCATTTCAGAAAGAGAGTTTTTTTATTTAACTCAAAGTCACATGTCGACGTTGGGAGCTGGAACCCAGTTCTCCATCACAACATGCTTTAGTAAGCACACTGGGACAAAATGTTCACCTGGAAACATTCCCAGTTTATTAACCAGCACTGCTAGAGAGTGGAGAGCGAGGTTGTGTGTCACTATGAGCCACCACCTTGTCAAACTGCGGTGACCGAGTGAATCATTGCTATCAACAGATGATGGAGAGAGTCACAGAGACTAATTATTTACCTGACTTTGTCCACATCTGAGCTCTCCTCGTCCAATCCCAGGATCATGGCCGTGTCGATGTTGAGGTTGAGAACTGGATTAGCCCTTTGAGCGAATAATGATATACACAGTCAGAGATATGTTTTATTTCATATAATTGATTCATTCATTTATCTGTTGTCTCCTCACCCCTCCATGGTGTATTTGTTGGTTCCAGGCACTACAGCGCCACCTTTCTGGTTGTCAGAAGTCATCATGGATGCAGAGTTCATGGCTTTAGCTGCCTTCAGTTTCCTCCCGTAGCTGTAGTGTGACGGGAGTTGATTAGTAAACACACTACCTCTCATAGATGTTTTCAGATTATTGGAAACTGGCAAGTGTGGCTTTACTGGGGTAAACTGTGTGGTTAATAGTTAATTGTCCTGTCCCTAACTTTATTCCAAATCCCTTTCTTACGTTCTGCGAGTGCACATTAGGGAAGTGATGAGGACACCCAGTACGATGACGAGGCCTCCCACTATCCCCAGCAAGATGTACTTCACAGGGTCCGTGTCGGGTTCTTTCACAGGAGCCTTCCCCTGAAGCAGAAGTAAGAAATATATCTTTAATATATTTCTGTCTGTGGACCTATAAGGTTTCATTTACACTTCTTGTTGTCAGATCTAAAAATATAGTTCTGAAACTTTCTGCAAGTATCATTTATAAATTACAATAAAATGTAAGTAAAACAAAACTATAATAAGAAGAATTTGATATAATTCATGTATGAGAACTCTGATCATTTTTCAAACTATTCTGCCCTCCTCTGTCATCAAATTCTGATTATTATCTTTTGTAAACTATAGTAAAATATAGTAAATCCAGAGGTGGCAAAGATACACATACTATTTACTCAAGTTCAATACAGATGGTTTCTCTGAATGACATTCCAGCTGTTTTTGTGCAAAGCTAACTGAAACTTTAAATAAGGTCAAGTCTCCCTCCCTTGTCTATTTCGTTTGTCACATTGTTACATCATGTTTGATATGCACCGATCTTGATGTGGGGAAGATGTGCAATGATGCAAAAGACAATAATAATCAATACTAAAGTAACAAGCCTGTTTTGAAAATATAAGAAGGAGAAAGAACAGATATTTGTGTAAAAATAAAATGTAGGAAGTAAAAGTAAGGAGAAAAATAAATGCTCAAGTAAAGTACAATACCTGAAAAAACAACTTAAGTACAGTAACAACATATTTGTACTTTGTTATTTCCCACCTCTGAGTAAATTCAAGTAATGATTAATTAATTGCTTGAAACTGAAATAAAACTTCAGCTCTTCAACCGCTCGTACTTACAATGTTCTTGAGGCCGAGCTGTCCCAGCACAAGAAAATGTTCAGGATCAGACAGCATCGTGTCCACTTGAACAGAGGTCAGAGCAGTCCCGTTGGTGTAGACAAAATATGCCACAATGATGGTGCTACCCGTGTCCCTGTGAGAAGAAAACAACTCACTTAAACAGTAAAAATATTTCACATAAACAAATGATGTCTGCTGTTTTAAATCAAAAGTACATGAATAAAACTCGTCTTGTGTTGCTGCAATTATTGTCTACAATTATCAGTAAATAATGTATCCTCAACAGTATGATCGTTTACAGGAACACTGGCACCACCTAGTGGACAACAGTCTATGTCTGCAAGTGAAAAGCTGAGGATTATTTTGGAGGTTCCTGTCAAAACAAGCTAATAATTTGTGATCTGTATCTATCTTGACAGACTGTATCATTTATTCTGATGAATGGGGATTTAAAGGTCATGAGAAGAGAAACTTGCCTGGATTCTGAAGTTCCGGGCCTGATTGCAACAATTTCAACAGCAGTCTTGGTGGCAGCAGTAAGCGCCCTGGAAATATAGAGATCCAAGAACAATAAAAAGTCAATGATGAGAAAGATTTAAAATGAAAAATATATTAATACTAAAACACAGTATAGCATGGAGAAATGTACCTGATGATTTCATTGAGGTTTTTTTCAACTTCTGCTTCGGAAGATGTAAATTCAAGTTCAACTTTGTACGTTTCATCAACGGTGAAAATCTAAAAAAAATTAAAATTACAGAAGCATGAACACAGACTGAAGTCTTACTGATACAACACCGACAGGATAACCCTTCACTGTGGGTTATAAATGAAAACCTAGCTGTATGGTTTCTGCCACTCACGTCCAATAAGGTGCTGGTAGAGAGGTCGCCGGTGTCAGTTGCTGTTACTGTCACCAAATACTTCCCTTTCAGTGTCATATCAAGCCCCTCGGTAGTTCTGTGAAAAATGGAGGAAATCATGAGTGCGGCAAAAAACAGAAACGGGCCCTTGGGCACAGATGTGTCATTTATGTCTTTTTGTTTATGTATCTTGTTCTCTTTCCTTGTAGTCATTTTTTATTTCATTGTAGTGTTTTTTGGGTCCTTGTTTTTTGCAGTCATTGTTTTGTAATCATTTTATTTCTGTGTAGTTGTTTTGTATCTCTTTGTAGTTGTCTCATTGTCTTTTCAAACTAACAGTCACTTCAAACAGTGGCTCCCCCTGACCCTTTGGGCAATCGGGTCTGTGCCCAGAAGGCCTGTTCAAAAATCCATCCCTAAGTGCAGCGGTAAACACCAAAGCGTGTGAGAAAATCCAAACACATGTTAAGAGCATAATGAGATATGGTAGCATGATGCTGATGGATGGACTTTGTACTCACTGAATAATTCCGACATAAATGTCCTTTTGCTGCGTGGTGACGGCCTCGAACAGAATCCTCATAGTAGTTGTACGATTGTTGGTGTCTTTAAATTGGACTGCTGTTACTTTAAACTCAATCTGCCTATTTATTCCAGAGTCACGGTCTATAGCCTGAGAGCAGCAAGAGACACAAACAAGAATGTCTAGACACCATGTCACATATCTCATTTACAATCTGGTGTCAGGTCAGTTGAATGTTTTTCATTCATACTCACAGTCACTCCTGCAACAGATGTCCCCTTATTGGCACTTTCTGACACCACAACTAAAATCCAAAGAAGAAAAATCAGTATTAAACATTATAGTGTTAACAAAATTGACTAAATTTGACTTGTTTTACTTTTGTTCAACTCTTGAGTGGGTTTTTGTTGTTGTTGTTGAGTAGGAAAATGTCCCATTATGATCAGTGGTTTCCAAACTAGGGGTCAGAGGTGACAATTTCAATATTTCTCCTATAATCTGCATTATAAAGTTATAAATATATAATATAATAATAATTAGGGATACACCAATACCAGTTCCATTATCAGGTATTGGGTCCAAAACTTTGCTCATCCATACTTGTGTACACTCTTGTAAATTACTGCAGGTTTTTGCTAAATAAAACATTGTTTAAATAGAATGTAAACAGAAACTCTTAGAGACTTAGAGAAAATGGATCATGAGTGGGCACGCTACAGGGGGGTTTAGGGAGTCATAAGCCAGAAAATATTTTTTTTTAAAAAGCTTTAGATCAAATTTACTTGCAATCATACAAGCTCAGATATACACTCACCAAATACAGAATCTGAGTAAATGAATTCTGGAGCATTGTCGTTGATGTCTTCAATGTTGATCACCATTTCTCCTGAAATAATATAAAAATAAAAGTGAAGTGTTTGTAGGTCTGTATTTGACAGTTTCATGCTTTTTATGCTTTTATTTGATGCTCTTATGTTTTTACTATGTCCATACAACCCAGTGCTGACCTGTTGTGACACTGTTGTTCTCTCCTT